CTGACATTTTCCAAACCCAGAGCTGCATGTGCTGTCTTGCAAGAAGGTCCTGCCCATGAGCTGAGGGGGCATAGTTGCTACTGCAGTGACTAGAAAGGAGCCCCAGATATCCAACCCCCAAGAAAGGACTCTGTGCAGAGCCCTGCCACACTCACTGGGCATCTTTTATGTGCACGACTGTGCACATGGGAGCCTTGGCCAAAGTTCTCATCTATTCCTCATAATAATAATCATTTTATTACAGGAAAGCAGAGGCTCAGAGGGGTGAAGTGACTCCAAGGAGGTCATGCAACTTGTGAGTGGAAGAGCTGGGATTCAAACCCGAGTCTAACTGACTCCTTGCCTGATTTCTTCCCCCCAGTGTGTGAACCACCTTGGAGCAAAGCCCTTCCTGCCCACCATAAGAAAATTGGCAAGTCCTAGCTGGGTGCAGTGGCTCACACCTGTAATCCCAGCACTTTGGGAGGCCGAGGCAGGTGGATCACTTGAGGTCAAGAGTTCAAGACCAGCCTGGCCAACATGGTAAAACCCCATCTCTACTGAAAACACAAAAATTATCTGGGTGTGGTGGCTCATGCATGTAGTCCTAGCTACTCCAGAGGCTGAGGCACAAGAATGGCTTGAAACTGGCAGGCGGTGGTTGAAGTGAGCCAAGATCACGCCACTGCACTCCAGCCTGGGCAACAGAGTGTGAGTCAGTCTCAACACACACAAAAAAAAAGAAAGAAGGAAGGAAGGAAGGAAGGAAGGAAGGAAGGAAGGAAGGAAGGAAGGGAGGGAGGGAGGGAGGGAGGGAGGGAGGGTAGGGAGGAAGGAGCAAGTCCAGGGTGATCTCTCTGCCCCACAACAGGTCTCAGCTAAACTCAGGGTCCTCAAGGACCATATCTGGCATTTGCAATAGTTGGGAGACCTGTGCATGTATTTTGTATATAATTTGCATAATGTTGCATCTGGTTTGCATATGTCCATGCTGAGAGTCCATCAGCATTGCACAATTTCTAAGTTGTTCCTAAGCTACTCTCACTCAATGGAAGTCTGTCCAGGCTTTACAGAGCCCAGTTTCCACAATTTCTGGACTCTTTCAGGACCTCGCCTTCAGGCTGCACATCTATCCCCCGCCAGGATGTTGGAAAAGCCCTGCTTCTGCCCAGCTGGATGGGGTCAGTGCAAACTCCTGCCCCAGAAACTCATTTGCATTTGGTATAACCTGTTCTGATGGTGCAGGTATAATCAAAATGCTGATGGTGATGATGTACAGAAAAAAGTGAGCCTGGGCAAAGAGCCTTGCTGCACAGAACTTCCAAAGGTGGCTCTGTGTGCAGGGAGGCCTAGCTGTGCACTCTCAAAAAAGAAAAAAAAGAGGGTAGGGGAGATGGGCACTGACAAAGGGCTGTACCTTAGGGCTGGTACCTTCAAGGGCTGTGGTCCCTGTGCAGGAGGGGTCCATCTGCAGCAGGAAGGGCTTGTGCCAGAAAGCCAGCAGCTTCAGTGCTTTCTATTTCTGTGTTTTTTAGGGGAACTTCATCCCACACAACTTTGTGTGGTTTTTAATAATCTTCTGTGCTGGGCCCTCAATAAGAAAAGGAAAGGCCGGATGTAGTGGCTCATGCCTGTAATCCCAGCACTTTAGGAGGCCGAGGTGGGCGTATCATTTGAGACCAGCCTGGCCAACATGGCGAAACCCTGTCTCCACTGGAAAAAAAAAAAAAAAATACAAAAAATTAGCTGGGTGTGGTGGCGTGTGCCTATAATCCCAGCTGCTTGGGAGGCTGAGGCAGAATAATCCCTTGAACCCGAGAGGCGGAGGTTGCAGTGAGCAGAGATCATGCCACTGCACTCCAGCCTGGGTAACAGAGTGAGACTCCATCTCAAAAAAAAAAAAAAAAAGAAAAGAAAAGAAAACAGAAAAGGCAGGATGCATGGGGTTCTCCCCTGTAATCCCAACACTTTGGGCAGGAGAATCACTTGAGGACAGGAGTTTGAGACTAGCCTAGGCAGCACAGTGAGACCCCATCTGTACAAAAGGAAAAACTGTGTGTGTTCATGCACATGCGTGATAGTGGTATGGGGGATGGGTTGGGTGTGTCTGGATGTGGTTGTGCATGTCCCTGTGAACAGAAACTGCACTCCCACTCCTGTGTGTGGCCCGTTTCCATTCAGGTGTAGAAACTCCAGTCTGAATCAGAGGAACGTGACTGCCTCCTTTCCTCCTCTGCTTCTGGCCTCCCTAGGTTTCCTGTCTGGCAGATGCAAAGTCGCCTCATCGTCTACTGGGGGGACCCCAGCTCTGGCCTGATCCAGCCAAGACCCTGAGCATCTCCCTGTACTGAGGTCCTCCACCCCCACTAGAATGGGGCCCAATCCTGGTTCCCAAAACTGTTGCAGTGAAAGAGGGAGCATGGGGTTTGATGTCAGCCACTTGGAAAAGGGGGAAGTGGGGTCCAGCTGTCCTTTCAGCCCCTGTGACATGGAGATTCCCAAGCTCAAACAGGGTCCAGCCTCTTCTCTGTGAGTTTTGGGTTCCGCAGCTGGGGCTGGGGAAGGGAATGAGAGGAAGGGGTGGGACCCCTTGGAAAAAGATCACAGCCTCTGGGGTGGGGGAGTTTCCTCCCAGAGCCAGTCTGGGTAATGCTGCCAGGCAGTCAGCACCCAGCCTAGGATGAGGAGCTGGCTCTGTTCATGTTCCTCTCAGATGTTTCTCACTTCCTAAAAAGCGCAAAGTCAGTGGTTACAAGATCAAGAGCGTGTTGTGGATATAGTGTGTCTTGCCCTCAGCAAAATGGTTCATAACATCTCTCTTAGAGGTTGGAGAATATAATAAAACATTCGGTGGTTTTATAGGGAGAGCGAGAGGCTGTCTTAGGCACCATTTGGTTGCTGTAAGACTATACTTCCAGGAATCATTTCTACAGTTCGTTACTAGAGAAGTTTCTCTCTGTAGGGAGCATTTGGTTGCTGGGATCAGAAACCCATTCAAGCTAGCTCCAGTGGTGGACTACTGGGAAGCAGATAGGGAAGACACAGCTTGTCCACAGATGTTTACTCACCACACAGCCCCATGACTCTGCCCCACTCTCCCCTGACCACCCTCTTTCTCCATTTCCCATGATTCCCCCAGAGCTCTCATGGTCTCTCCTATCATTACCAGCCAAGTGTCCCTGTAGTGGACTGAATTGGGCCCCTCCCAAAATTCATGAACATTTGGAACCTCAGAACGTGACCTTATTTGGAAATAGATCTCTGCAGATGTACTCATTTAAGATGAGGTTATGTTGGGCCCTATATCCAATGACTGGTGTCCTTATAAGAAGAGGAGGCTGGGCTGGGTGCAGTGGCTCCCAGCACTTTGGGAGACTGAGGTGAGAGCATCACTTGAGCTCAGGAGTTTGTGACCAGCCTGGGTAACAAAGTGAGATCCCATCTCTACAGAAAATTTAAAAAGGAGCTGTGCATGGTGGTGCACAACTGTGGTCCCAGCTACAGAGGAGGCGGGGGCAGGAGGATCACTTGAGCTCAGGAGGTCAAGGTTGCATTCCAACCTGGGTGATAGAGCTAGACCTTGCATTTATTTATTTATTTATTTATTTATTTATGGAGATGGAGTTTCACTCTTGTCACCCAGGCTGGAGTGCAATGGCATGATCTTGGCTCATTGTAACCTCCGCCTCCAGGGTTCAAGCGATTCTCTTGCCTTAGTCTCCCAGGTAGCTGGGATTACAGGCACCTGCCACCACGGCCGGCTAATTTTTGTATTTTTAGTAGAGATAGCGTTTCACCATATTGGCCAGGCTGGTCTCAAACTCCTGACCTCAGGTGATCCACCCACCTCGGCCTCCCAAAGTGCTGGGATTACAGGCGTGAGCCATCGCGCCCAGCCCTGTCGCAAATTTAAAAACAAAACCAAAAAGGCCAGGCACGGTGGCTCACGCCTGTAACCCCAGCACTCTGGGAGGCTGAGGCAGGCGGATCACAAGGTCAGGAGATCGAGACCATCCTGGCTAACACGGTGAAACCCCGTCTCTACTAAAAACAAAAAAATTAGCCAGGCGTGGTGGTGGGCATCTGTAGTTCCAGCTACTCGGGAGGCTGAGGCAGGAGAACGGCGTGAACCCGGGAGGCGGAGATTGCAGTGAACTGAGATCACACCACTGCACTCTAGCCTGGGCAACCGAGCGAGACTCCGTCTCAAAACAACAACAACAATAACAAAAAACAAAAACAAGAGGAAAGGACACAGACCAAACAAGAGGAAAGGACACAGACCAAACAAGAGGAAAGGACACAGAGAAAAAAGGTCACGTGAACAGGGATATGTGGAGGCGAAAGCAGAGGTAGGAGTGATGCTGCTACAAAGAATCCTTGACCAAAGAATGCCAGAGATTGCCAGGAACCACCAGTGGCTGGACGAGGCAAAGAAGGCTTCTCCCCAGGGCCACTGGAGCAGGCATGACCCTGCTGGCCCCTGGATTTTAGAGTTAGCCTCCAGAATTGTGGGAGAATACATTTCTGTGTGTTAAGCCACTGAGCCTGTGGCTGTTACCACAGCCCTGAGAAACTCACACAACCTACACCTGGAAACTGGATTCCTTCAGCTTCTGTGTTCTGATTCCAAAGCCTGGGAGAAAGCAGAATGGGCCTAGCTGGGGTCAGGTGTCTGCCCCACAGAACCCACAAGCCACTAAAGCTGAGGGCAGGGAATAGATGTGGGTTTCAGAGCTGCCGCTTCCAGTATCCTTCATAACCATCGCCCTGTCCAAAAGGTACTAATTCATATCTCAAGGTCAATTTGGAGGGAGGTCTCTCCAGGCAAGCCCCAGAGTTCCGTGCATTCTGTACACCTATCAGCTCTTGGGGCAAAAACACAGAAGGCTGTAGCCACCGGTGTGGATGAGACAAGTCCAGGAAAGTACCACTCTGATGACAGAATCAGGATTCAAGGGTTCTGTGCAGGTTAGAGAGTTAGCAAGGTGATATTGAATGAGGACGACGATAAAACCCACCTCTTGGGTTCCAAGAGTCAACTTCACAAGCAAAATGTGGACGACGCCTGGCTTCACGGCGGCAGTGACTTGTGAGAAAGACCTGAAGATTTTCTTTGACCAGCCGGCTTCCAGCTTCAGTTGCACAAAAAGCACAGCACTTTTGGCTCGGCTGGGGCGGTGATGGGCCTTTCGGGCTCGGTGCAGCCCATACCTAAGACAGACAGGAAACACAAGCCTCTCCAGAGAACTAGAGGTGCAACAGGGCCACCAGGCTAGGTGGCAGAGGTTGCGGGGTAAGGGGGAGGTAGGACGCCTGGGGAGAGGTCAGCGGAGTTATCAAACTAAGGGTCCCGGGCACCCCCAGATAATGATGGTACCAGGAGGCAGAGCGAGCAAACGGGGATGATCTGGGGTCTATTCCAAAGAGGTGGCGGGGGAGGTGGTGCTGGTGTGCCCCCAAACACGGCCATCTCGGCTCCAGAGCCCTGGAGAGCAGTTCCCGGGTTCACATGGACTCTGAAGACACCCGTATCCTGCGGGTGGGCGGCTCCTGGAGAGCCCACGCCCAGGCTGGCCTCAGGGGTCCGCTTCTTTGCTTCGGTCCTGGGCCCGCAGGCGACAGAGTGGCTGGTGTGCTCTGGGGCCTCCCAGGGCGCGGCGGCCTGCGCCCCTGCCACCCGGGGCTGCTCCCTTCGGAACCTCCTGTTCGCAGGCGGTCCCTCGGCTGTCCGCTCGGAGCTGGGGCGGGGGGCTGGCGGCGGCGAAGGGGGCTGGCGGCGGCGAGCGGCGCGGCCCCAAGTTTATGCTAATCCGCAGAGAGCCCGCCTCCCGCCTCCCCTCCGCGGCCCCAGCCGCGAACAGCGCCGGCCACTCCGCGGGACGCAGCCACCGCGAAGCGCCAGGCGGCCGGGCCAGCGAGCTCGGGGGTCGAAGGGGACCACGGGACCCTCGGGGCGGGACCCGGGCCGACCAGCGGCGAGGGCGGCACGGCGCTGCGGGCGGACACCCGGCGGGGGGCACCGCGCGGGGCCGGGCAGAGGCGCGGGGACCGCGATGGGCCGCCGCCGCCTGCCCGTCTGGCTGTGCGCCGTCGCGGCGCTGCTCTCGGGGGCGCAGGCCAAGGGCACCCCGCTCCTGGCGCGGCCCGCGCCACCCGGTGCCTCCCGCTACAGTCTCTACACGACGGGATGGCGCCCGCGGCTGCGCCCGGGGCCGCACAAGTAAGCGCGGGCGAGCGGCGGGCGGGAAGAGGGAGGAATGGGCCCGCGCGCGCCGCCGCTCCCACCTGCCCGCACCCGCGGGGGGCGTCGAGGCCACGGGCCCCCCGAGGCCGCTGCGTGGAGGCGGCGGCGCCCGGGGCAGAGCCCCTCCTCGGGCGGGCGCCCCACGCTCCGGGAGGTTGCGGGGCTGGCGAGGAAAAAGGAACCGAGGGGGCCTGGCGCGGCGGCTTGGGATCCTGGCAGTGCCCGCGGAAACCTTTCCAGCGAAGTAACATTTTCCAGCTGCGCTGTGTGCAGACTCCGGGCGAGCGGACCAGGTGGAGCGAGAGGAGGAAGGGCGGTCCGCGCGCTAAGCACGCGGGGCTCCCCCGCCCCGGGCCTCCCCTTTCTCCCCTGCCCCACCAGGTAGGAGATGGGGCTGCGCATCGGGGCGGCCGCTCCCCCCTCGCAGTCAGCCTGGCCCCAGCAACCGCATGGGAGCCCCAGCGTGGCCTGGCTGCAGAGCCAGTGCAGGCTCCTGGCTCCGGGCCCGTGCTGTGGCATAGCCGTCCACAGTGGTCGGCTTATGCCAGGCAGCCACCTCCTCAGCCCTTGTGGCTCATCAAAGAGCCTGCTGCCCCCGCCTCAGCTTCTGGTGTTTCGTGGGCAGTGGCTTGCAAACTGGCCTCAGTTAAGTGGGCTGGAGGCTCTGCCTGGGGTGCTGGCTGAACTTGAATTCTAGCTGAATTTGAGCGCTGTTGTAGGAGGAAGAGTACCGACACTCAGTGGGCCTGGGTACATCAGAGCGAACCTCCTAGAGGAGGTGGTACAATAACTGCTCTGAGAGTGAGGGAACAGGACCAAAGGCAAGGGCTGCAAAACTACAAGGAGAGGTCGTTTTCTCTGGGAGCCAGGCAGGGGAGGAAGGACAAGACATGGTGCTCTCAAAGGAGTCACCGAGTGGGGACTCAGGAGCCTTGAATGCCAAGATAAGGAGTTTGGAATCAGCGAAGGATGGGGGTGTGGCAGGGCACTTGAGGGAGAATCCGGGCTGGCTTCCTCCCCATGCAGGGAGGGGCAGCCACATCAGACTCCTGGTTCCAAATAGCGCTTAGCCCAGGGGCCACCCATCAGGGAGGCTGGAATCAGAGAACAGCAGTGGGACTGGACCCCAGACCAAGGGCGTTGGCTTCCAGGGACACAGAGAACTGACAGAAGAGACATGGGGTCTGGAGCCCTGCTGAGGCCCACAGACGGAGGTGGGAGGGTAGGAGCCTCCGTGGGCCTCGCTCAGCCAGATATTCCAGGGGTACCATTTTCTCCTGTAGGGCCCTCTGTGCCTATGTGGTGCACAGGAACGTGACCTGCATCCTACAGGAGGGAGCGGAGAGCTACGTAAAGGCTGAATACCGGCAGTGTGGATGGGGGCCCAAGTGCCCTGGGACAGTCACGTAAGTGCACTCCTCACCTACACCCTTGGAATCCCCTGGCACAAGCGCCAGTCCCGCCTTCAGCCGAGAGCAGCTGCCAATTCCAGAAGGGCTTCTTGGACTCCAGAGAGCCCACCTGAGCCCCCATACAGGCCAGAGTAGAAGGCGGCCCCAGAAAAGAGGGTGCCAGGGAGGATCCCAGGGATTTGGGCTTGCAGCAGAGTATCACCTGCACAGACAGTGGCAGGCTTGGGTTGGAGCCCAGGAACCACAGAGGGACAAGGGGAGGGTTCTGGGGGCAGAGGCAGCACAAGGCTAGGAGGAAGTGACAGAAGCAGAAGGTGAGGGGAGAGGAGGGAACACCCACCCTTAGGCAATGGGTGATGCCACAGGGGGGCCTGGCAGGCCCAGGGAGGACCGTGGTGACCACAAGGAGGCAGGCCATGGGGCAGGGAGAGGAAGCCGGAGCAGCAGGGCTGCACGTGAGGAACTGTGGGACTGATGCACGTGGGATGCACAGGTCTGTACTTGGAGAGGTTCACATGTGTGTGTGGAAACAAACCTGTTATCCGGTGTGTCAGTGGGTAAACAGGTATGTGGCTGAACAGGTGAGGGCATGGACCCTCGTGAGCCTGCCTGCAACCCAGACCTTCCCTTCCCTGCTCACAATCAGAGGTGCCCATCCACCAGCCTCTCTGACCAGAGCCAAGGTCCCGGAGCAAGCTACAGAGGAGTGGAAAGAACTAAGGGGAGCAGGTGGGAGCCAAGAGTGGCCCCAGGGCAGTGAGGGGACTGTCAGTGCCAGTTCCAGGGCAGTGCCCCTCCCTGCCCACAGGGAGGGCTGGGGCTGTGTCTGAGTTCTCCCAGGTGCCACTGCAGCCTGAGTGGAATTTCTCATGGCAGCATGAACTAGAAGGAGTCCAAGTGGTCTTGGGAAGTGATGGGGCGAAATTCCTGCTTCTCTCCAAGCTACCAGGATGGGTGGGACTTCTACCTGTATCTTTCCCTAACATGACTGTGAGCTCCAGGAAGTCCTGCCCTTACCCCACCCCTGTCACCTTAAGCACAGAAAAAGTAAAACCCTGGGGGTGGCATGGGGGTGGGGAGACACACAGCCTTATGCAAGTGTCTGAGGGTGGCCCTGAGTGCCAGCTAGGGGGAGGAGCACAGCCCTCAGGTGCAGGATCCTGCTGTCTTGCTCTCCCTGGCCCAGGTACCGCACAGTACTCAGACCCAAATACAAGGTTGGCTACAAGACAGTGACAGAACTCGCCTGGCGTTGCTGTCCTGGCTTCACTGGGGAACGCTGCCCTGAGCACCTCACGGACCATGGGGCTGCCCCACCCCAGCTGGAGCCTGAGCCTCAGATTCCTTCGGGGCAGCTGGGCCCAGGTCCCAGGCCCCCTTCCTACAGCAGAGCAGTCCCCAGTCCTCACGGTGAGTCTGCCCAAGGAGACCCTCCAAGGTGACTGGGTTTCTTGGGCTCAGTGGCAGGGGCAGGGAGGGGACTGATCCCAGGCTAGCTGAGCTCCGGCATGGATGGGGAGGAGGAACCCCCAAGCCCTACCTTCACCCCACCATAAAGCTGAGGGAGTTATGCTGAGTGAGAAGGTAGGCTTAGAACAGAAAGTCTCTTGGGTGGCCTGGCAGTGTGACAAGCTGAGAGTGTGAGGCCAGTGATGCCCCCTGGGGCTCTCTTCTCCTCTTTCCCAGGAAGGAAAGGCCCAGGGCTGTTTGGTGAGCGGCTGGAACGCCTGGAGGGTGATGTCCAGCGCCTGGCCCAAACATATGGTACCCTCAGTGGCCTGGTGGCCAGCCACGAGGACCCCAATAGGGTGACTGGTGGCCCCCGGGCTCCTGCTGCCCCTGTGGGCTTTGGGGTCATCCCTGAGGGACTTGTGGACCCAGGAGACAGAGCTAGAGGGCCACTAACACCTCCCTTGGACGAGATCCTAAGCAAGGTGACAGAGGTGAGCAACACTCTTCGGACCAAGGTGCAGCTTCTAGACAAAGTGCATGGGCTGGCACTCGGCCATGAGGCCCACCTGCAGCGGCTGCGGGAAGCCCCACCATCCCCGCTCACCTCCCTGGCCCTGCTGGAGGAGTATGTGGACCGACGGCTGCACCGACTCTGGGGGAGCCTGCTGGATGGCTTCGAGCAGAAGCTGCAAGGCGTCCAGAGTGAGTGCGACCTGCGGGTGCAGGAGGTGCGGCAGCAATGTGAGGAGGGCCAGGCCGCCAGCCGGAGGCTGCACCAGAGCCTTGATGGCCGGGAGCTAGCCCTGCGCCAGGAGCTGTCACAGCTGGGCAGCCAGCTGCAGGGCCTGAATGTGGCTGGCAGGGGCAGCTGCTGTGGCCAACTAGCCTTGATCAATGCCCGTATGGATGGCCTTGAGAGGACCCTGCAGGCAGTCACCGAGACCCAAAGGGGCCCCGGTGCCCCAGCCAGGGATGAGCTTACGAGGCTGTCTGCTGCCATGCTCGAGGGAGGTGTGGACGGGCTGCTTGAGGGTCTGGAGATGCTCAATGGGACAGAGGGTGGAGCAAGGGGATGCTGTCTGAGGTTGGAGATGGGGGGGTGGGGAGCAGGTGGCTCTGGGACCATGTTGGAAGAGCGCGTGCAGAGCCTCGAGGAGCGCCTAGTGACATTGGCTGGGGAGCTAAGCCGTGACAGCGCCCCTCCAGGCAGGTCAGCTCGACCCCTCGTGCAGACAGAGCTGGCCGTGCTGGAGCAACGGTTGGTTTCACTGGAGACTTCGTGCACCCCGAGCACCACCTCAGCCATCCTGGACAATCTCATGGCAGAGGTGAAGGCCTGGCAGAGTCGGAGCGAGGCCCTCCTACGCCAGGTGGCCAGCCACGCAGCACTGCTTCAGCAGCTCAATGGCACTGTGGCCGAGGTCCAGGGACAGCTGGCAGAAGGGACGGGCAGCTCACTCCAAGGCGAGATCACTCTGCTCAAGGTCAATCTGAACTCAGTGAGCAAGTCGCTCACGGGCCTCAGTGACTCTGTCAGCCAGTACTCTGATGCCTTCTTGGCTGCCAACACGTCCCTGGATGAGCGGGAACGCAAGGTGGAAGCCGAAGTCCACGCCATCCAGGAGCAGGTCAGCAGCCAAGGCTCCAGGCTTCAGGCTGGCCACAGGCAGGTCCTGAACCTGCGGGGGGAGCTGGAGCAACTCAAGGCTGGTGTGGCCAAGGTGGCCAGTGGGCTGAGCCGCTGCCAGGACACAGCCCAGAAACTTCAGCACACAGTGGGACACTTTGACCAGCGGGTGGCACAAGTGGAGGGTGCGTGCAGGAGGCTGGGCCTGCTGGCTGCGGGCCTGGACAGCTTGTCCACTGAGCCACTGAGGTCCAGAGAGGGCCTGTGGAGCCATGTGGACCAGCTGAATCGTACGCTGGCCCAGCACACACAGGACATTGCCCGCCTCCGCGACGACCTACTGGACTGCCAGGCCCAGCTGGCTGAGCAGGCACGGCCAGGGAAAGCCAACTAGACAGACTGGCCAGGACCCAACCCCTAGATCCCACCAACTCGGGGAACATCACCCCAGAGCCCAGCCTTATCTAGCAGCGCCTTCCAGCCTTCCCTGGCTAGCCCAGATGGCACTAAAGAGGCCACTGAGGGAATGGTCTTGATCTAGCTCCATAGGGCTATCCCAGCCACCAAAACCCATGCACAGTGCTGCACAAACTGGACAGTTCCGGACAGCGGTCAAGGCAAGGATGTCGTGCTTGAAGGCCAGGGTGGACTTGAGAGATTCCACTGTCTGCAAATCAGTATCTGGGCAGCCAGCTGCAGGGCCTGAGCGTGGCTGGCAGGGGCAGCTGCTGTGGCCAACTGGCCTTGATCAGTGCTCGTATGTAAGGCGTTGAGAGGACCCTGCAGGCAGTCAGCACCAGTGTCAGCAACTGTGCAAAGACCTACAGGCCCACAGCCAGTGGCCTGTCCACATTGCTCTGTGCCCACAAGCAATAGTCCACAGCCTTTGGTGGCTTCTGTTCCTTGTCCCCTCAGCTTCTCCTTGCAGCCATCAGGACTAGGTTTGTGCAAGAAGGTGATGCCCACTGGAACTGTCCTCACACCTGGCAGCTTCATGGATGCTGTATCTGAACTAAGGACCAGAGGCTGCCAGATGTTTCTGGCTCCTCACATGTCCTTCAGGACAGAACAGAAGCACAAAGACTCAGACAAGAGTTCTCTTTATTCCCTTTGATCCTCCCCCAAGGTGAGGGCTTAGGCAGCTGTAGAACCCCAGGAAAGAACGAAATGCAGGCAATCTGTTTAGAGACCCCCCACCCCAAATTTATCCTTTTCCTTTCCTTCCCCTAAAATGTTTCCAGGGCTCTCTGGTGCCCGCACTGTCCTCTTCCTTCCACTCGGGGGTGGGGAAATCCTTCCTGCGAGGTCAGGGCATTTCTCTAGAAAGTGGCCTGAATGAGGCCAGGCCCTGAGAAGGAGCCCCCAGCTGGAGGAAAGGAGTTCCGGGCCTTGCTTTTAACACCCCTGCAAAACCGCCACCCTCCCAGGATGTTCACAAAAGGTGAGAAATTCAGGTACGAAACCGTCAATGGACAACTTGAAAACGCATGTTCCTCAGGCCTCTGCAGTTCCGAGACTCTGACACCCGTCTCTGCTGAGGCTCCCAGCCTCAGTTTCCCCCACAGCAGCACGGGCCCCGCTGTGCTGCTCTTCAGGTCCCCACAGCCCTGCCTTTTGTTCCTGGACATTTGGTATTCTGCCTTCCACTCTGGTACTATCGGAGTAGGGCAGCTCTGGATTAAAGCTTTTAGCCAGTCTAAAGCTACTTTCTTCACCAAAGACAGTGGGAGGAGAGGTTGCTGGGGCATCATCCCTGCTTCCTACAGCTCCTTAGGCAAGAGCTTACCGAGCAGCTGTGAGCACCAAGCTGGCCAGCAGAGACTGGGGGAGGACTGTCAAGCCAACACCCACCTGCCCCGGCTGAGTTTGGGACTGTCTTTAAGGGAGGTCTGGAGAGAGGCAGTGGCAGCAGCCAGACGGGGAGCAGGCCAAGCCAGAGCCACACTCTCTCAGCCTGCAGGTGTGGGTGTGTATCGTGTGCTGAGATGCCAGGGCACCAGCAAGGGGGATGTGTTGGCAGTGATGTCTGGCTTCAGAGGGTACAGTCCTGGCTCCCAGATAAGGGGCGGGGAGAACACTATGTCCTTCCAGAAGCTGCACCACACTCCCACTGCTGCCACCAACCCTTCACTGATGCCTCGAGCCTCAGTGGGGCCTCCCTCTTCTCCCTGTCCTATCAAGAGTTACAGCAAGGTCCCAGGTCGACAGGGAGAGAGATATCAAGGGCATAGAGAACCCTGCACGGAGGCCAGGCGTGGTAGCTCATGCCTGTAATCCCAGCACTTTGGGAGGCCAAGGTGGGCAGATCACTTGAGGTCAGGAGTTCGAGATCACCCTGGCCAACATGGTGAAAACCCATCTCTACTAAAATCACAAAAATTAGCCAGGTGTGGTGGTACATGCCTGTAATCCCAGCTACTTGGGAGGCTGAGGCAGGTGAATCGCTTGAACCTGGGAGGCGGAAGTTGCAGTGAGCCAAGATCATGCCACTGCACTCCAGCCTGGGCAACAGAGCAAGACCCTGTCTCAGAAAAAAAAAACAACACAAAAAACAGAACCCTGCAAGGGCCCAGATGACAAAGTAATTGCCCCAGGCCAGTGCCACACTGACACCTGGAGCATCTGCAGCTTAGCTGGCAAAAACAGGACGGGGAAGATGGGGGAGTCTCTCTAGCTCCAACCAACCTGCAGCCCCCTTCTTCCCCTTCAGTGGGTTTGCCCCGTGGCACTCCAGCTCCCACCCTCCTATACCCCGGTACACCTAGTCAGTTCTGGGCCGGGCCAGGGAGGAGAAGCCAGGGCAGGTTCAGTCCAGGGTATCAAGGTCCACAGTGGGCAGTGGCTCCCGCCAGTAGCAGAAGTTACTGTATTCAGGGTTGGCCAGGTCTGTGCTGGGGCCACGGGCCACAGGTGGGAAGAGGAACTCAACCACCTCACCAAGCCGCTCATACCTACAGGCAGAAGGGGACCAGCACTGAGCCTGAGCTGCCACCAAACCACGGCCTCGGCCATGGGAGCCCAGAGTAAGGGACAGAATCCCTGGGGAGAGGTGAAATTGGGGCCCAGGAAGAATCTGGGGCAGGGGGATGTGGCAGGGCATGGGGAACACGTGGCAGGGTTTGGCCTCACGTGGACTTGTGGTTCTTCATGAGCTCCTGGATGAGCTCGCCCCGGGGGTTGACTGTGAAGATGCGTGACTCAGGTAGGCCCACCTGCCGGTAGGCAAAGACATCCTGTGGGAGACAGGAGGGGCCCATGGAACAGAGGCCTGCAGGCAGCTGGGGAGAGATGGCTTGGCAGAGGGGAGGGGACACACTCACATTGGGCCTGTTCCCAAAGGCAGCATAGAAAGGCTGTCCATGGGGCAGAAACAGCTGCTGGATGTCACTCAGGCAGGCGACCTTGAACACCTCTGGTTTCTTCTCAATCACCTCTCTGGGGTGGCCAGAACCACAGCAGGGAAGGGGGCCAAAGTAGGGAAGAACCCAGAGGGGATGGCAGGCTCAGGGGATGGGGGGTCTGACCCCACCCTCCTTGCCACCTGAGAGCTTAATGCCAGCCTGCTAAGGCTGGCCTGGCAGTGGGCCTGCCTCTCCCCACCAGGGGACCATGGGCTTGTACGTGTGGGGGTGGTTACCTGTGGAGGGCAGAGAAGAGGCTGCTGGGAGACAGAAGGATGGGGCCCTTGGGGAGGCTACAGCCCCCCTCGCTCACCCACTGCAGGTACCCCTTGGTGAGGTCCGCCATGCCAATGGCCCGCGCCGAGCAGTACAGGAACTTGTACCCATTTCTGAGAGTGGGGAACAGGGTGGCATAGAGCCATCAGAGACCAGCCAGCCCCCATCTGTTTCCTTGGCTTCAGCCTGCCCAGCCGAACTGTGGGGCTCTGATGTTCCAACCTATGCAGGGAGAGGACTTGGGGAGAATGGCCAGGCCTCAGCAGTGGACTCAGCTGGATGGTGCAGATTCCTGAGGCCTGGGTGGACCAGGATGGAGAGGGCCTCCCCTCCGGCCTCAGGCCAGTAGGTGGCCCTGATCCTAGAACACAGCCCCAGGGGATGAGCCTTTCACAGAACTGCGGGCCAATAGAGAGGTCTCAGCACCCGAGGCACCTGCCCTGGTGGCCTCCCTTGCGGTCCCTGCTGGTCCCCAAGATGTCCTGTCCTGTCACTCCCTCTCTAGAGCTAGGGGCCTTGCCTCAGCCCCAGCCCCAGCCCCAGCCCAGGCACTCACAGGTGGATTTTGTGATAGAGACTGGTGATGCCCTGGTGTGTCCAGTCTTTCCCCAGCTGGGGCAGGATATGGCCCAGAGCGTCCGACCTACAGCCAGAGAGGAAGGGTCACTCCAAGGCAGCTCCATGTGGCCCAGCTCCAGCCCCAGGATGCCCCACCAGGAAGGGAGGGCTCCTCTCACTGTCCCCACCACACCCAGCACAGAGGGAGGCGAGTCCATAACCCCTCTCTCCCTCCCCTTCCCACAGCCAGCTGAGCCTCACTTGGTGATGGTGCCGTCGATGTCAGAGATGACCACCTTGTCGTCCCATTTCCACAGGTAGATGGTGGCCTTGCAGCGGCAGGTGCCCTGGTACTGAGTGGTCACACTGAACACCACATCATTGGCACCTTCTTGCAGGTTCAGGCGCCGCTGAGGCCAAAGGGGGGTGTGTTGTGATCAACGACAGCCAGGCACTGCCTACCTCTCCCGTTCTGCCATGGTCTCCAATCCCCTCGGGCCTCTCATTCTCCTCTTCCTCCCAGCTCAGAGACCCTTCTTGAATTCATCAGAGATAGCCACGCACAGACACACATCCATGTGGGCAGAGGGTGGCCATGCTGATCAGGGCTCTGTCCAGTGCAGGACACAGGAGCCCTAGTCTCCATTCACTCCCCTTTGAAATGTAACTCACAGACAAAGCCACATCCATGACTCCCTGCCCAGGATTCCCAGGCCCAAGGCTGGGGCTGCTGTTGGCAGGGAGACACCCCCCTCCATAGATGGGGGTCCTGTGGGGATCTCCATAGGAAGCCCCTCCCTGGGGCCAGGATACCTGAGTCAACATTGCCCTAAGAAGAGGTGTAACCCTGTACTTGGTCCATAGAGAAGGATCAGGGCCGTTCCCCACCAAAGCCCTGAGTTGAGTGTGAGCTTCAGGGTACCAGACAGATGGCAGCTGCTTTGTACTGGCTGGTGAGCTCCTCCTGGACACCTCCCTGACCATGGAGCCACACCCATGAAGAAAATATATTCTTATTCCAGGAGCCACCAGTTACTGAGCTTAGAGAAGATATGACTTGGGGCCGAGAGTTGCCAGAATCTGAGGGACCGTCATCAGCATTTGATTCTTTTCAGTGTTGCTTCCAAGGGCTGACCCAGAGCCTACTGGCTCACTACAGGTTGACATCTCAGGAGGACCTAAGAGACAGCTTTCCCAGTGTCTGACAGACAAATGGGCTGGCATGTGAAGAAGTGAGCGCTCGCCCTTGGAAGTATTCGAGTGGAGGCCATCAGGGAGGCTCCCAAGGGGATAGATTCTCGCCTTTGGTGAACGTGTGGCTCCCTGGAGCCATTTCTCAGCCAGGTCCTGAGGGACTCTCAGACAGAATTAGCTCAGCCCCTCCCCAACCTCCACACAGACAACCCACACTTACAATCTGATCGGAGGAAAGGCGGAGGGACTTCTTGTAGGTGGGAGTGGAGGGTGGAGTGGAGGGTGGCAAGGAGGGGATCTCGAGGATCACAGGGCTGTCTGGGGCGTCGTCATCACTGCTCAGGACATCTGTCTTCTCCCTGTGGACCGCACTGGCTCTCAGGCCATCTCCTCCAGCCAAAGGGCCTTCACTCCCAGGAGATGCCAAGAGGAGCCTGGGCCTGTCCCCGCCATGCCAGGGCCTGTCCAGGCTATCGGTGATCCCTCCCTCTAGGTACAACCCATTTGCAGTGGTGGCAGACACAGGGGTGTAGGCTGGCAGTCTCCACCCAGCCAAGCAACAGCAGAGGGGGCCGAGACCCAGGGCTGCCAGCTCTCAGTGCCTGCCTTGGAGATATTTACCTGAATACCTAACGTGTATCTCCAGGCTTATCCCCAACCTCACCTGCTTTGGTTTCAGTCAGGCCATCCTTAGCTACTCTCCACCCAGCCTTAGGCAGCTGGGTCACTTCAGATGTGGAAAAAGGAAACAAAGTCAGCTGGCTTCTTTGGGCTGGGAGAGGCCCTGCCCCTCCTTAATAGGGATCCCCTTGTCTGGGGCAGGAGCCTGAGGACCTGTGCCAGCTCCACCATTTCCTGGTTGTGGCCAGGAAATGTATCTCCAGGCCTCATTTTTCCCATCTGTAAAATGGGGCCATTTCTCAGGAAAAAGAAAAGGTATAGAAGTGCTTGTGGTGGCTCATGCCTGTTATCCCAGCACTTTGGGAGACCAAGGTGGGCGGATCACCTGAGGTCAGGAGTTCGAGACCAGCCTGACCAACAGGGTGAAACCCCGTCTCCCTAAAAATACAAAAAATTAGCCAGGCGTGGTGGCTCACGCCTGTAGTCCAGCTACTCAGGAGGCTGAAGCCGAGAATCGCTTGAACCTGGGAGGTGGAGGTTGCAGTGAGCCAGGATCGCACCACTGCACTCCAGCCTGGGTGACAGAGCCAGACTCTGTCTCAAAAACCAACCAACCAACCAACCAACCAACCAACCAACCAACCAACCAAAAAAAAAAAAGTGCTTGGTGCTTGGGGAATGACAAAGAACCCACGGCTGGAGACAGGGTACTGGCTCCTCCCTGCCGCCCCCCGACCCAGGGCCATCTTTCCCAGGCTCCTACTGCAGAGCCCCGGATAGGGGGTCTCACTCACCCCTGCTGTTCCTTGGCTGCAGTCTTCTCCCTCTGGGCACTGCGCTGTGGAAAGAACATCCATTAGTGAATCCCACCTCCTGCCTGTGCCAGCCCTGGCCCTGCCCCTCGACCATGACCACCCACCTCCTCGGCCAGGAAGTCCCTGCGTCGCCAGGAAAACCACCATCGCCCACCCTTCCGGGGCATCTTCTCCTTCTCCAGCTTGTCCATGGTGCTCTGTGGGCAGATGAAAACCATGGCAGTGTTTCCTACCTCCTACCTCCACACAAACCTCCTACCTTATGTTGTTCTTGGGACCCTTCTCCCATGAGCCCAGAGTCTGGGTCGACCCTAGAGCAAGGTGCTGTCAACATCTGGAGGCCAAGGAAGCATGCTCACCTCCATCCTGGGATTCCAAGCAATGACTCAGGTGAGTTATGTTCAAAAGACGGAGGGCTATTCCTGCCCCCAGCCCCGATGCCTAGCTCTAGGCTCAGCCTCAGCCTGGCCTCCAAATCTTGTGGATCCATTCCTCTACTAGAGTAGTTAAAGGCAATGCTTTCAGAGTTTCTCAAGATCTGGTACTCCCTATGTTGAGACCAAGTGGTAGCAGGGAGAACAATCTTTAGCCAGTACTCCCCTCAACCTCCAAGACTGCCCCAGGCAACCTCCTAAGGTCAGTGATCCTATCCCACGAACAGCCCCGTTTTCTGTATGTTACCATCGCTGTCTGGTTGGGGCAAGCTGACCTTGTGAAAAAGTGCTGATGAGATCTATGCTATTATACATAACCCCAGGGAGAGCCCAGGCAAGGCCCATCTGGGGAACACACCAGCATTCTACAGACCCAAGTCAGGACGATGTGGGTTTGGGCTGGGAACAGCCAGGGGGCCCCCTTGAGCTGGAAACAGGCTGGCGGGGCAGGGGTCTCTCAGGGGCCTCAAGTGGTGGGTCTGTCTGGGTAAGGTGAGGAGATCCAAGCAGGGAAGGGACCCTCTTCCTTCCCACAGACTCTGGGTCCTAGCTCAGACCCCGTACCAGCCAGAGGACGAAGCTGTCACCCAATGGCAGTGACAGCTGTCAACATCTGTTAGTGATGCTCTTTGGGTAAGCCAAGAACAATAGGCCGCGCCAGGTCAGGGTGGTGCCTTGGATCGCTCCCAGAGGGGCAGGTCCAGGTTGGCAAAGGCTGGCACTGCCCAGGAGGGCACCATCCTCCATGAGTAGGGGAAGGTGGCTGGGAAGACCAGGGAAGAGGTTCTGGGAAGAGTAAAGAGGCTGGGCATACCATCATTCCTTCCCCACTCTGGGCATCACACATGCTGTTCCCCACCCCTGGCCAGCTCAAGGCCCATCCATCTTTCAATCTCTATCCAGCAGGCACTTGCTTATCAAACCACCTTGCCGTAGGCTCTCCTAGCACTGCACGCCTGTCCTTCCCAGCACTTAGGACTGAATTATATTCATCTGGGTGAGTCTTTGGTTAACCTAGTCCTCCTTCAAGAGCAGGGATAATTTTGTTTCATTTATTCATGACTTTCCCCAGCCTAGGCCTGGGACATAGTAGGTACTCAAGAAATGTGCGCAGGTAAAGAAAGTAAGCACCCTTCAGCCCAGCCTGGAGGAATAGTCTTCAGGCAAGGTGAAGGGAGCAACTTCCATTTCCCAAACCCCATATTTCAGATCCAAGGGCTTCCCCATATTTCAGATGCAAAGGCCACCTGCTAAAGACATGTCCTTGTTTAAGCATCTGTTGGGTTTTTCTTCCCCTCTGGTTTGTCCTGAGCTCCTCTGAAGTCCACTTTAAATACAACAGGATTCAGCCATGGCCAGAAAACCAGGGAAGGGTGGGGCAAGGCTTCAGGGACCTGTGTTGCCTCTCCCAGAGTGCGTCTTGCAGCCAGCCAGCCCCTGGCCCCCAGGCCCATCTCTGCTTACCCTTCACTTCCTTGCCAAGGGTCTCCCTGCCCCGAGGCTATGGCTACCTTCCCCAGCAGGGGCAATGGTGTTCTAACCATTACCTTGGGCAAGTTTTTCTGGAAGGCTTGCAGGGAGAGGATCATGGGGGCAGCCACAGCCCAGTTATAATGCCTGGAGAGACAGAATAGGGCATCAGCAGCTGCAGGATTGTGGAGAGGGAAATGACTCTCCGGCCACCAGCAGCCCCAGCTCTGGGACTTACTTCCCATTGATTTTCACCACTAGGTTTGGGTCATCCAAAAGTCCGGGGTTTTTGGTGAGGTCCTGGTAGGAGACGCTGTGCTGGCTGAATTTCTCTGGGCACGGAGGCAGAGAGTGACGGGTGAGGCTGGCACATCCCACGTGACCTGCTGCCCCAGCCCCCTGGTGCTCCCCACTCTGCTGTTCACCTCCTGTCGGTTGGCTCTGTAACCTGGCAGTGCTCCTCCCTGCCTGTGGGTTTTACACCTGTTCCCACCCCAGGATTCACAGGATAACTCACAACTTAGTGTCAAGCATTTGCTTCATGGGGACTTGGGAAGGTCCAGCCCCTGCTGGTGGAGTGTGGGCTGCACAGGGCAGAGAGCTGCAAGGAAGCCCAGCCTCCCACCTCTACTGCCCCACCCTCGCGGTCTTCCCTGCCCTCGCCATCCTCTGGGCTCAGCACCAGTCCTCGAAAGTGCTTGGGCCATAGTCGAACATACCTAGGGAGATGTCCCGGCTGTCAGCCAGTCCACCACAGAGGGACAGTGCTATTGTATCTACTGTGTCCAGAGTGGGTTCAGGTTCATGTTCAGGGTTGGGGTCCCTCAGGGACTTCTGACTGCTGGGTTCACTCCATCTTCTGGCCCCCAGCCCAGAGTCACTGCGGGCAAAGGGGCCAACAATGACAAGAATACGAGGAGGGTGGGAGATGGGTCCTCTCTCCTCCCATGCCTTTGATAGCCCTTGAAAGCCTGGACCCTTGGCCCCAGGTGCCCAGACCCACGACACCCTGGCATCCAGAACCCAGGCACCTCTGGGGGAAGTAAAGCGCTGCATTCTCAGAGTCCAGGGAGGGCAAGTCGTCCAGGTAGATGTCACTGGGGCCCAGGTGCTGGCTTCTCTTTGGGGAGCCTGAGGGTTGAAGAGAGGATGTCTGTGGAGCTGACATGTGCTCAGCGGTGTGGGCAGTAAGTGCCCTCTGACTTTGAATTCTCTAAGGAATTGCCACCCAGCAGAACCTTCTGCAGTGATACAAATGTCCCATGTCTGATATATTAGCTGCTAGTCACATGTGGTTATTGAGCACACTTAAAATGTGATCACAGTGTGACAGAGAAATGGAATTCTAGGCCGGGCGTGATGGCTCATGCCTGTAATCCCAGCACTTTGGGAAGCTGAGGCAGGTGGATCACGAGGTCAGGGGATCGAGGCCATCCTGGCCAACATGGTGAAACCCGTCTCTACTAAAAATAATAAAAATTAGCTGTGCGTGGTGATATATGCCTGTAGTCCCAGCTACTCAGGGGGCTGAGGAAGGAGAATTGCTTGAACCTGGGAGGTAGAGTTTGCAGTGTGCCGAGACTGGAGTGCAGTGGTGTGACCATAGCTCACTGCAGCCTCAAACTCCTGGGCTCAGGTGACCCTCTTGCCTCAGCCTCCTCAGTAGCTGGGACTACAGGCACATGACACCATGCCTGGCTAGTTTAAAAAAAAAAATTTTTTTTTTCTCACTACATTGCCCAGGCTTTATCTTGAACTCCTCAAGCAGTCTTCACACCTCGGCCTCCCAAAGTGCTGGGATTACAGGCATGAGCCACCACGCTAGCCCTAATTTGATTTTAAATGGCCACATATAGCCAATGGCTACTGATTTGGACAGCACAGGTCTCGTGCGTTCCTAGCGCTCTGAGATAAACCTGAGCTTGTGAGCTGGAGCCATCTGAGTCTGCTCATCTCCCCGACTTCCTATCCCCACGGTCTTCTACTTCTTGCTCAAGGCATGCCAGCTGCCTTCAGTTTCTGGACATGAAACTTCTCTCCAGCCCTACAGCCCGGGCACATACTGTTTCCTCTGCTTAGAATTTCCTTCCCCTGCTCCTCGCTTGGCTGAATCTTCATTATCCATGTCTCAGCTCCGACATCACCTTCTCGGAGGGGCCTTCTCTGACCACCTGGTTTAAACAGCTCCCATTCCAACCAACGACTATGCCCATGGCACGCCCTTCCACACACAGAGCATCTGTCTCCCACACTGCACTGTGAGCCTCATGAGGCTGGTGCCAAGAACAGCACCTGGCACACAGCAGTTGCTCAAAATGTACCAGCACCCACCCAGGGGACAGGGCGAGGCCAGGGAGGCAGTGGGAGAATCCCAGCATTACTCACCTTTCCCCCTGGAGACCCTCTCTGGCTGCCCAGTGGGAACTAGACCCTCCAGAGTGGCCCAGCTCCATGACTTGGAGGCAGGAGGGAGGCCCATGTCCCCAGAGCTCTGAGTGTTGGTTTCCTCTGTCTCTGGGGTGTGGAGAGGGGGACCCACTAGAGTAGGATCCTCTGTGTCAGGATGAAGGTCGGCACCAGCCTCTGTTTGCTGGATTAGGGGTCCCGAAGGGTCCACGCTGCCAGCCACAGAGGTAGAGGGAGTGCTGGGTCCTCCCCGAGGAGGAGAGGTTGCCTCAGCTCTGCCTTCAAGGACCATTGAGGACTCGGGCCGCTCAGCTCTGGCCACCTTCAGTGGAACAAATGGAGGAAGATGTGGGCCAGGGCAAGGCCTGCCTCCCACGCCTCACAAAGCTTTGGGGGCAGTGGCCCGAGTTTCAGTCCCTCCAACCCTGATCCAAGAGGGCCACGGAGCCCCTGAAAGGCAGGGCCTGGGGTTGATACAGAGGGACTCACCTTAGGCAGCCTCCCCCAGGCCCACTGCATGTGGGCCTCGGCTCTCAGGGGACTGGGCTCCGGGGTCCGCACCTCCAGCTCCGAGTCGCTCTTAGGGGATGTTAGCTCACCTGCTGAGAGGCTGCAGGAGACATATCCAGAGGCCCTGAGCCTGCCTACCCATCCCCGCTGCTGCCCACCCTAGCCAGGGAAAAAAATATGTGCAAACTATATTTATGCCTGTGTTGAATCCAGAATGTATAAAGAATATGTAAAGATCTAAAGAGTATATAAATATATGAATAACTTACGCTAATCAACAATAAGAAGACAATTCAGTAAGAAGAAGGATGGGAGGGAGGGTGGAAGGGAGGGAGGGAGGGAGGAAGGAAGGAAGGAGGGAGGGAGGGAGGGAAGGAAGGAGGGAGGGAGGGAAGGAAGGAGGGAGGGAGGGAGGGAGGGAAGGAGGGAAAGAAGGAAAAAAAAAAAGATGGCAAAGTTGTAACTGGATTGCCTAATGGGCATAGGGTTTCCATTTGGGGGATGGAATGTTCTGGAACTAGGTAGTCGTGATGATCATTCAACACTATGAATGTACTTAATGCCACTGAATTGTATATACTTTGAAATAGTTAAAATGGTAAATTTATGTTATGTATATTTTACTGCAATTTAAAAAATCAATAAAAGACTTGAACTCTTTACAGAGGAAAAATATGAATGGCCGGTAAACATATTAAATGGGTTCTGTGTCATTAGTCATCAGGAAAAATGCAAATGGAAACCTCAGACCGTGATCTGGAGTCCCAGTGTGCAGCCCACTTGGACTCTCACCTGGCCTGGGGGGACCACTCGCCATCCGAGTAGGGGTAGATGTCTTTGGGCTGCGGTGAAGACTTCTCTTCCAACTGGACACTGCTGAGGGGCCACAAGGAAATGGTCACTGATCGGGCAGGATGCCCCAGGCAGGCATGAGAGCCTGGACATCAGGGGCTTGGTAAGGTGAAGCAGCTACTGCTCAGAGAGGTCAAGGCCCTTGCCCAAAGTCACACAGCATGAGCAGAGGAAACAGCACTTGAACCCCCAAACTGGGGTTCAAGTCCCTTGGTCCTTACACACCCTGGGGGCTCTGGCCTCGGCTTTTCCGGCAGGGACAGCTCACTCTCAGCGCCTGCCTCCAGTTCCTCTGAACTAGAATCAGTTGCCACTGCGTCCTCCTTCTGCTTGGGCTTCCTCCTGCGACGCCTCTTCCTCCGCCCAATGGAGGCCGTGCCTGCCATGACGAGGCCCTCAGGCTCACTGGCATTGCCCACCTGGGAGTCTGAGGGGAAGCCAGACAGACCCCCCCAAGGGATGGGTGAGGTGCACAGGCCGGGAGGCACGTGTTCCTGTGGAACAGATCAAGAACTGAGCTGGGGGCTGACCCTAGTGGGACTGCCCTCACCACACAGTCATCTTGAGCCCTGCCTGGGTCCCAGTCCTGGAGTGAGCTCATTTAGGGTCAGGAAAACAGGTGTGGAGGCACCAGCCTGGCCCCATAGCCACTACTGGCCTCAGAGCTCCCCAACAGAGCCACCTGCCACCATGGCAGGCCAGGCAGAGATCTTGGCATCAGCCTCTGATCTTCTCTTTTACCCAAGTCTATGACAGCAGGCATCTACTTCTGCTTTAAGATTCAGCCAGATGTCTCCTCCCCCAGGAAGGAGCCTTGGCTATCCCTCTCCCAGTTCCAACATCCCTCACTGCAATGACCAAACAGTTCATCATCCATTGTTTACGTGTCTAGCTCCCCAGACCAGTCTGTAACTTTCTTTGAAGGCAGGGGTCACCCGTCATCTGAGTCTATTGCACAGTGTCTGGCACACAGTAGGGACTCAAAGTTTTTCAAGTTCAGTTTCAACTCCTCTATTGGCTTCTGCTGGGCCCTGCCTCCCCTGTGTGAACACCCACCACTTACACAATTCTAGGTTCCAGCTGCACAGAGCTGGCACCAGACCTGAGACAAGCCAGATGTTATACTTTCCAGCCCCCTTCTTCAGCTCCCGCCTCCTCTCCAAGCTGCCCGGGGAAGGCCTCCTTTTCATCCCCAGGGGCCCAGCTCAGGGGTCCAGTCTTCTGAGAAACCTTCCCCAACTTCCCAGTAAGTAGAGTTAGCTGGTACCCTGGCCCCTTCCTCCGGGCCCCCACAGCATATCATGTGTGCCAGAGGCCAGCCCCAACTGACACCCCTGCCTCAGACCTCCGCTGGTGGGGTGCTCCCAGGGATGGGCGAGGATGGTGACAAATCCCAAGGCTCCACCCACAGGAGGCACAGGAAAGGGGTGGGAGGGGCAGGTGCTGTTGGGAGGGGCAGGTGCTGTTGGGAGGGGCAGGTGCTGTTGGGAGGGGCAGGTGCTGTCAGGAAGACAGCACTCACCTCATCGCTCTCCAGCTCCTGAACGAAGAAGGCCTCCCCGCTGTCGCCGAGCTTCATGTGCAAGCCCACAGGCTCCCCATTGATCTCAATGTCTACCTGCAAATGGAGAGCGGTGGCAGGCACATGGGCCCTCACACCCATGCTTCCAACCACAGGTCTCCCGGCTGGTCCTCCGGTGGCTCTTTGCTCCCGATGATGGGGGGCTCTGCTGCATCTCCCCTTCCTCAGAGAGGCCTTTGCTGAGCTCCCTACCCATCTCTCCCTCACTCATACTGCCCCACTGTCTGAGCTTCATTGCACTTATCACTGTCTCGGTCTCCTTGTGTATTGCCTGGTTTCCAAGTTCTTCCCTCTCTCACATCCACAGGAATAGGGACGTGATCTCTCTTGTGATCGCTGTGTCCCCAGCCCCCAGGTTATCGGCTGCGTGAACAATGGTGGGAATTTCAGTGTACTGGCCCTTTGTGGAGTGTCTTCTATAGATTATCTCATTTAATCTTTGCAACCCCTTGCAGTAGCTCCTATCATTACCTCCACTTTATAGACAAGGAAACTGAGGCTTTGAAGGTTTAAGTAATTCGCCAGGAGGCAGACTCACAGCAAGCAAGCCTATGAACCCACAAAGGCTGAGTGTACAACCCAAGCTACTAGCTTCTTAGATATTCTGTTTCCTGTAGGCTACACTTTTCTATTAGGATCCTGGAAACGTCACAGTTGCCTCAGTGTGAATCTTGATTCACACCCTAGACTTTGCTGCTAACAAAAATCTCTGCTGTGCTTGCCTGAGCCCAGTGAAGGTGGAATGGATTTATTTATTTATTTTTATTTTATTTATTTATTGTATTTTTTGAGACGGAGTTTTGCTCTTGTTGCCCAGGCTAGAGTACAATGGTGTAATCTTGGTTCACCGCAATCTCTGCCTCCCGGATTCAAGCAATTCTCCTGCCTCGGCTTCCCGAGTGGCTGGCATTACAGGAGCCCACCACCACACCCGGCTAATTTTTGTATTTTTAGTAGAGACTGGGTTTCACCATGTGGACCAGGCTGGTCTCAAACTCCTGACCTCAGGTGATCCACCTGCTTTGGCCTCCCAAAGTGCTGGGATTACAGGTGTGAACCACCATGCCCAGCCTGAAGTGGATTTATGAAGAGAGAGAAACTAACCTTTGAGCCGCATAGCTGGTCCTGGGACAGTATTATCAGTTGCTATTGACTTGTCCCACCAGCATCATTAGGCAGATAAAATCATATACATTTGTGCAGGTGAAGTAACTGGGCTCAGAGACATGAAGTGACTTACCAAGAACACACAGGTAAGGTCTTAGTAAGCTGAGCCAGGTCTGATGGCCCCAGCACCGGGATGAGACCTACTCGTCTGTTTCCATGAGAAACTAACGGTGAACCCTCCCAGATCAAAACCCCCAAATCAACCCAAAAACCTTCAAAGAAAGTACAAACCAAGGGAAGCCTGTCCAGAGGACAGATCCCCACCTAAGGGAGGCCCCAGGTCCTGTCCTGGGACTGTAGTGACTGCCCCGGCTTAAAAAGCCCACCCTGCAGTGGCCACCTCAGCCAGCCTGAGCACTCACCACCTTCTCCCGTGACCGCAGGACGCCCAGCTTGCCAAAACGCACATGGAAGGGTGAGCACCGGAACGAGCCGTCCACCTGCTTCACCACCAGCACGTCAATGCCGCCGCTCAGCGTGGCTGGGTTCAGGCCCCGGTACAGCTCCTTCACCGTCCCAAACACCGTCTCCGCCAGCTGCCCGACGTAGTTCATGGCTGCTGCTGGCAAAGAAGGGCAGTGGCTTGCACAAAGGTCTGCTCCAGATCCTCCACAAGAAGCTCCTGCAACCTGACCACCCAGACCCCAAAGTTTACATTTGTGTCACGCCTTGGAGTGACACAGATGGCAGCACAGATGGCAGCAGCCGTGCGATGGGAGGTGCACCCGTAGACGTGGGTCTAACCCCAGTTTGCCTACTGCCCTGCTAAGGGACCCTTGGGCAGCCGACTCCCTTCTCTAAGTGCCGATCTCCACATCTGTAAAATAGGGCACAAGGTAAGACAATACCCGGTTGCCTCGTGCTTCTAAATGCCATGACTAATGATAATGACCACAGTGTTCCGTGGGTATGGCTCATTTCATCTTCACAACAACCCTGTGGGGCTGGCTGAACGGGTATCATTATTCCTGTTTACAGATGAGCCAGCAGAGGCTCAGAGAGGTGGAGTGAGCTGCCCAGAGCCTCGTAACTATGAAGGAGGGAACCTGAGATCTGAACCCAGGTTTGTGTGGTTCCACTGGGATGGTCCAACTGTGAAAACAGGAAAGGGTGGGAAGAGGGGGCAGCCTCATTAGATAGCAGGCCCAGGGCCCTGCTGGATAATGGGTGACTGTGCTAATGAGTGCTCTTCTTTTCCCAGGAAGTGGGAAGGAAGGAGCCTCCACTTTTCCATCTGAGAAATGGGCTCAGTTGTCTTGCTGTCTCCTGGTTCTGTGAGTTGGAAGGTGTCTTGCTGGGCAATTGTAGCTGACTTATGGGGGACCAGGGGTGGGAGCACCCCAGGTACTCAAGGCTCTGTTCAGCCCCATCCCTGGGGTCAGATGCTCAAGGTAGAGTATCCCCTATAGCTGGGGACTTAAGGCCCCAAACTACAAATTCCTTTCCAGTTTCCCTGGTGGGAAGCCTGTCGATGCACAGCCTGACTCCAACGGTGTCCAGGCTATCGTTCTCAGACCCCAACTTCAGCCCAAACCCCAGCTCCTCAGACCAGGGCTCAGCTGGCTAGGCGCTCAGATCCACAATCAGGCCTTGGGCTGGCCCCAGCCCACTGAAGCTGCTCCTTCCCCCAGCCAGACCGGTCTCTCCAGCTTTGCCACACCAGGCAGGGCTGGGTAAGCCCAAAGCAGGAGGCTGAGGCGGCCTCAGAGAAAAACCAGGGCTATGATGACAGCCTCCTCCAAGCTGGCACAGTGCCTGCCCCAGCAGCTTCAGGTGATCACCCCTGCCCTCCTGGCCAGGCCAGTGGCCTGCTGCCCCTCTGTCTGCCAAGACCCAGACTGTCCCACCTCCACAGGGCACTTTCTTCTCTCAGACCCTGGGTCAGAACCCCTGGAGGACAGTCTGCCATGCAAGACCACTTAGCAAAGAAGCTAAGTGACTTACCCAAGGTTAAGTGACTTTATAGATGAGGAAACTATTCAAGCTCTATGAAGCCGAAAGGCCATAGAAGGGGTATAGGGAGGGGAGAGAGGGCGTAATGACTCATATCCGGCTCTCCTGACTCTAGAGCATGGTCTCCTCCACTCCATGCTTCCAAACCACCCCACAGTTGGCTGCATGGCCCATGGCCACTTCTGCACAGCCCTGCAACGCTCTGCACTCAAAATGTGATCCATGCACCAGCAACGAAAATCAGCATCAGCATCACCTGGGAGTTTGTTAGAAACAGAAACTTATGCCCAACTCAGCCCTACTGATTCAGCATCTGCATATTTTATTTATTTATTTATTTATTTATTTTTTTAAACAGGGTCTCACTCTGTCACCCAGGCTGGTGTGCAGTGGCACCAAAATGACTCACTGCGGCCTCAACCTCCCAGGCTCAAGTGATCCTCCTGCCTCAGCCTCCTGAGTAGCTAGGACTACAGGCATGTACCACCACACTTGGCTAATTTTAAAATTTCTTTTGTACAGACAGGGTCTCGCTATGTTGCCCATGTTGGTCTCAAACTCCTGGACTCAAGTGATCCTCCCACCTTGGCCTCCCAAAGAGCTGGGACTATAGGCGTGAGCCATTGCACCTGGCGTAGCATCTGCATTTTAACAGGATCCCCAGGTGATTCCTGTGGCCTTTCGTGTATTTGAAAGGAACTGCTTTTGTGTTCCCAGTCCACAGCTTACTCTTGGAAGAGCCTGAACGACAAGACATCCACCCCCACAGCATTTCTCAGATAACGCCACATCCTGCCCAACCTGGGACATCCAATGAAGCAGTGGATTCTTTCAGTCTATGTCAGAGCGTCACAAACGTAAGACACAATTAGAATTGCCAAAGAGAAAATGGGATGAAATGAAACTCCTTGGACCCCTAACATGTCACTCAAATCAAGTTTATCTGCAAGGCACCTGCCATGAGCTAGATAGGACATTTCCACTTTGGTTTCTCCCTACCTAATGCCAAATTCCGAATATAGGTCTGGGGAGACAGTGGTGACAGACACTTGGTGGGTAGACCTCTAAACTACTGTGCCCAGGAAAAGCAGAGAGGGCTCCAGAGGCTTCCAGGAATTAAGGAGCAAGCATGGGGAGGGGCAGAGCTGGGGTTGGGGCAAAGGTCCATCCAGCTGGAGGCCCCAGCCTGAGCTCTCTGCCCTATTAAGCCCTAGTGCAGTTTGTCAGCTTCGGCATTTTGCCCTTTGGCGCCAGATAATTCTTTGCTGGGGGGTGGGTGGGTGCATTGTAGGATATTTAGCAGCATCCCTGGCCTCTGCCCATTAGATGCCAGTAGCGCTTCATCCCCCACAATTCCAGGTTGTGACAGCCAAATTGTCTCCAGACATTTTTAAATGTCTCCTGGGGGACAAAATTGCCCCCAGCTGAGAACCACTGATCTAGTAGAAAGGGCTGAATAGCAGAGATGGCACCCAGGGTCCTACTCGGATCCAGCCCTGGAGTATTCTCAGGCAAGTAACTGGCTGGCCTCAGTTTCCCCTTCTGTGAACCAAGGCCTCCATTTTTTAGACACATCTCAGCTCTAATGTCATGGGAGTCCGGAATTCACTCCTCTGTTCCCCCCACTTCACCAATTTGGATGTCCCCCACATCTGCCTGCTCAGCATTTTGGGGGCCTCCTGTAAGTCCCCCCACACCCCCCACATCTGCCTACTTAGCATTCTGGGGGCCTCCTGTGAGCCCGGCCTCTGTCTTCACCCATCCCTTAGGCACCCCCTTTTCCCAGGACCCAGCTCTGCTTCCTTGGTCTTTTCCCAGACAGAGGAGAGCTCTGCTTGGTTCCCCTCTATCACCCTCCACCCACAAACTAACATGTCTAAAATTAGCCACTTCACTCCCCACACCTTCCCAGGAAGCCGAATACCCCTTAGGACTAGTCACTACCCCTCCCTCCCTCCCTAGCCCTCTAAATCTTCTCCCCCAGTTTCCTGCTCACCCAGCCCCTCCTTTCTCCAGCTGTCCTGGGTCAAGGCTTTACTACCAGATGCCCAGATCATGGGTGGCCACAGGACATTAGGAGAAAATGCAGCAGATTCTCTGGGTGCTGATCCCCACTCTGCCATTTGCTGGCTGTGACCGTGGGCAAGTGACTTCATCTCTCTGACCCTCAGTCTCAGTCTCCGAAATGGGAATAACATCAGATGCGTGTGAATAACTAATGAGAGACTTTGTGTAAAGCCCTGGAATGCAAGAAAAGCCTGTATGTGACACCTATCATCAGCAGCAGCACGACAGCCCCACTCATGCAAGCTGGTCCTGTGGGCACTGCAGGTCATACTCTGATGAACTGCTGGTCCTGTGGGCACTGCAGGTCATACTCGGATGAACTGCCCCCGCCAGCAGTTGAGAGTTTGGACTTCTTTTATTTATTTATTTATTTTTTCGAGATGGAGTCTCATTCTGTCGCCCAGGCTGGAGTGCGGTGGCGGGATCTCAGCTCACTGCAAGCTCCGCCTCCCGGGTTCATGCCATTCTCCTGCCTCAGCCTCCTGAGTAGCTGGGACTACAGGCCCGTGCCACGACGCCCGGCTAATTTTTTGTATTTTTAGCGGAGACGGGGTTTCACCGTGTTAGCCAGGATGGTCTCGATCTCCTGACCTCGTGATCCACCCGCCTCAGCCTCCAAAATGCTGGGATTACAGGTGTGAGCCACAGCACCCAGCGGAGTTTGGACTTCTTAACTTGGCATTCAAGGTTGTGCACAATGGTGGCGCCACTATTTGCCAAATGAGCATGTGCGCTCCAGGCAGGCCTCACACCCCACCTTGGGGATGTTCACGGGCCTTCCAGGCTAGACTACAACTCCAGCACAGGGAAGCCAGAGCAAGCTGCCCTAGGACTGAGCTCTCAGCTCTCGGGGCTCCCAGATTTGGGTGGATGACGGGTGTGGCTCTCCGCCGAGGACCAGACCAAGCTGGAGAGTAAGCACTCCTAGTACCCCAGGAGAGAGAAAGCGCCACCCCAGCTCCCAGTAGCTACAGCATCTGACCTGCCCAGTCTCAGGGAAAGCAAGGCAAGGGCCAGACACTGTTTTGCAACTGAGGACACTGGGTACCCGAGAAAGTGGCTGTCCTCCTCAAAGTCACACAGTCAGGCTGGGGTAAAGCTGGGCCAGCCTCCCCTGGGAGGTTTCGGCGTCTCCTCTCCAGACTCTACGTTTTGGGTGTCCAGGGAGCCTGCAGCCGCTGGGCCAGGGAGAGAGGGACGAAATGAGGCCGGCCCCTCCACTCCTGCGTCCCCATCTTATAGCTAGAGGTGGACCCAGGCCCGCGGACAGGAAGGAAGGAATGTCGGATGGCAGGACAGATGGGCAGGGTGGGAGGGGAGAGGGTCATCCCTTCCCCGGCCCGAGGTGGGCCCTACCTGAGGAGCTGCCCACTGGAGCTCCTGGACTCAAGAGCCGCCCCTCTACCTGCGTGCACAGGCTCCACAGGTGAGTGTCTTCGGCCCTCAGTCACTTGGAGCTTCCGGGTCCTCTAAGACAGGGTGAGATCACGGCTCCACTCCTTCCACGATCCTAGTGCGGCCTCCACAGGCTCCAATCTGCCCAGGCTCCACTCCCTGAAAAGACCCCGCCCCCCCGCTCCGATCCACGCCCAGGGCGCCCTTTGGCCTCCGAGGTGGGGGCGGGGCCAGACATCAGGCCCCGCCCACCAGTCCCCGCCCCAAGTCCTTGTGCCGCCCCCTGCCCCACCTCCAGAAAAGTGTGGATTTCGGGACGGGGCGGACCTAGCTCCTCCCAGATTTGCTTCCAGCTTGCTGTGTGATCTTGGGTGAATTCCTTCCCCAATTTGATCCCATTTCCTGTTTTGTCAAGAGGGGAAAGCCGCCTTGCAGGATTTTCGAGATGACATGAAATGACTTTGCGCGGCTCCTGGCGCTCAAACGTCCCCTCCTGGGGGCAGCTTCTCCTGAACCCTCCCGTATCTCCCAGACTGGACAGGCCCCTCGCGTCATCTGTTCGCATAGCTCATAGTTATAATTTCATATTTGCTTGAATGACTACTTGATTAATGTCTGTCTCTTCATTTAAATTTGAACTCTGAGAGCAGGTCATGTACATCCTTACACTCCAGCGCTTATCAGTACATTGCCTGACAAACACACCAGGCGCTCCATAAATGCCCGCTTCTTCATTCCATCTCTGGGACGTTCCGGTCGAGCGGCAGCGGGATCAATACCGCCACTGGCCAGCAGAGGGCAG